TATGAATATTTCTTTTTTTTTGGGTTTGACCAAAGAGAGAGAATTTTTTTTTTTTTTTTGGTTTGGTTTGTGGATACATCAAAGAACAACGGAGGGTAAAACTTTTTTTTTATTCATTTTCAAGAAATCAATTCATGAATGTCAAATATTTTTTCTTCTTTTTTGAGAGATGAGATTCGTTTCTTTCTTTTTTTTGTTGGTTTTGGTTTTCTACGACCTATTCGAATAAACATTGAAAAAATGCATAAATGTATGGATGTTATTTTTTTCTCGACCATCACATATTTTGACTTTACGATTTTCCATAAATTTTTTTTGTTGCTAATATCCAACAATAAAACGACCATCTACATCATCATCAAAATGTTCGACATATTAACCGAGAAAGTGAAGAAAAAAAATTCATTTCAACATTGAATGACAGCTTTTTTTTTGTTATCCTCCTCCTCAAAACATAAAAGCACATCTATGAAATGAGAAATGAAAAAAAACTTGACATAAGCCATAGGCGCCACATTCTTTTACTCTTCTCCATTTTGACTATCACTTATCGTCATCATCATCGTATACTTTTTTTTCGAATGGACACTTTGACGGTTAATGGTATTTTCGATACTATGAATGTGTTTTATGTTGAAAACAAGTATAAAAAAAAGAGTAATACAATAATAATAATGAAAAAAATAGATAAGAAACGAATGGATGGATAGATTGATCGATGTTATTTATGGATGGATCGAACATTTAGAACAAATGTGTATTTATAGTAGAAAAGTAATAGAAAAGAAATTATCATTTCAAACAATTACAATCCAAATGTCATTGAAAGCATTGAAAAATGAAAAATCTTTGTCGTTTTATTGAAACAATAATTTCAACATCAGACAACAAATTTAATTAGTTGACACTTTTTTTCTCTCATCTTGTGTGGATTGAAAAACGATTTTTTCCGTTGTTGTTGTTGTTGATATTTTTTTTTTGATTGGATATTTCAATTTTAATTTTCATCAGATGAAATTAATGATGAAATTACTATTATCAATATAAAATATTGATAATAAATAATGATAATGGTGATAAAAATAGAGTTTTACAAAGCAATATACAAAAATCTTTTCCTACTCGTTATGTATAGTAATGTATAATTAAAATAATCCTAAAGATCATCATGACAACATTAAGAATGGTTACATCTACTATCGAAATATTAACATCAAGAATTTTATTCACTTACTTTTTTTATCCTATTCTCTCTCTTTTTTATTCTTGTTCAATTTATATATAAAAATCTATAATCATTAATTTTCTATTGCCAGAAAAAAAATAATAAAACAGTAACAACAACCATATTTCGTCAGGCTATTATGGCCTATCAATATATTACCGTTATTTTTTTTTTGCTTCCTTAGATTTATCCACTTTTTTCTTGTGGATGTTTATAATCCAAATGCACGCACTATATCTACATTATGGTAAACATCAACAACAACATTTTTTTTATGGATAAAGTATAATGAACTTTTACATATATCGAAATATATCAATGGATTGATATTGTTGTTGTTGTCTTTTTTTTCTCGTATAATTTTTGTTGTTGTGGGTCTTGAAGGCTTATTTGATTCGATATAAACAACAATAACACATTATTATTATTATTTCTTCTTTTTTCGTTTCAGAGTATGATGAGAAATGATCATCAATTTTGTTATTTTAACAATATAGTTGAAAAAAAATATAGGCAAAATGGAAAAAAATCCTGTGTGTAATACACACACAAATGGTCTGTAGATGATGATGATCTGAAGATCGTTATTATTAGAGCAATTAATCTGTGTGTGTGTGTGTGTGTGATGGTCAAGTGTTATTATTGTTATTATTATTATCCAAGTTCGGTTATTATTATTTTTATTAATACCATATATAACGAGAAGTCGTATTTTAGAATTCGGTCGATTTTATTTCTCTCTACGAAATAAATTTATGTGTCAGTGTCGTTATATTGTTATATCGGTGTTTCGGTGTGTGCATGTAATCAATGATTATCAGATCAAATTATCATCAGACATGTTGTGAATGAACAACAAAAAACAAAACAGATAAAACGAATTTTAGGAAAAAAAAGAAAATCAGTTAATAATAAATGAATGAAGGGGAAAAAATGTCATCATCCAAAAAAATGAATTATATCGGTGTGGATTGAAAAAGACCAGAAAAAAATTATAGAAACAAAATTCCGGTCGAAATTTTTTAATTCAATTCTTGCAAGAATTTAAAAAAAATCATTCATTTCATAATCATGAATCGTCTTCAGTCATTCGATAATAAAAGATCTTGGCGAAAAATATCATCATGCAGTATTTAAAAAAATGTGAATGAAAAAAATGAAAGAAAGTGGAAAAAAAGAAAAGTCAAGTCAAATCAACAAAACCATTCAACCGACTAGGCGACCACGAGAAATGCTGAATGTATGTATGAGTTATAAATGGATCGGTCTGGTTGGATGGACTTGTCAAATGAAAAAAAATGAACGAATTCAATTCAATCGAATGGATGAATGAATCGAATGGAAATCTTGCCACCGATAAACAAACAAATATGAAAAATATAAGTGAAATCTATAAGTGATAAAGATGACGGTAGTTGAAAAAAAGGTAATGATACTGAGAAAGCAAGAAAAAAGACTTACTTTATCCACATATAAAATGAAAATCAAATGAAGCATTAAATTTCGAATATTTTTTTCATCAATTCTATTTTGAAATAAACCGATGGCCACTAAATCAAACCAAAAAAAATTTTTAGCATCATTTTTTCATCATCATCATCGTTTGGACATATGCTTGGCTTTAATTTCGGAAAAAATAACGGGAATCATCATTTTTTTTCATTCGCTACATCAACCATTCAAGAAAGAAAAAATCTATGAGCAGCTTGAGATCATTGAATATTTTTTTGAGTAAATATATTATGCTCACATCAGATGAAATTCTTTAGCGAAAAACGAATTTGGACAGAAAATTGTGCAAGTGAAAAACGAAAGATTTTTTCCTGGTTGAATGAATTTTCAATATCCTCACTTTCGTTTTTTTTTCTCATATTTCAAATATTGGTGGATTTTATTCGATGCAACGAAATTGAGATCAAAAGAATAAAATCGTCAACGACAAAAATAGAGCGAAATATTTTTTTTTATAGTGCAAAAGGAGAAAAAAATAATGCAGGATTTGAATTATTTTAAAAAACACTGCATAGAAATGCAAGAAAATAGGCAAAGTTGTTAATTATTTTTTTTTCATTTATTTTAATAATTCAGGTGTTCGTCAACCATATGAAATTCAAGTGTATGATGATTTTGCTATTGAAGGGAATACAGGAGTAAGTGTGTAATCTTACTTTTTTTAATAAATTTTATCTAACTGTTTTTTTATCGATTTTAACTGTATAAATTAACATAAACCAGATTCTTCGATGTCATATACCAAGTTTTGCACGAGAATATATTCATGTAACGAATTGGCTACGTTATGGTGATGATGATCATCCGATAATTTCTAATCTACTTGGAGGTAAAAATTTTCCATTCAATTCAATTTAATGATGCATAAAAAATTTGATCAATTTGTTCAGAAAAGAGAAAAAAATCAATATTCACTGTTTTATTCGAACACAAGTGACTGATACCCGAGATAAGATTTTTTTTTATTCGAATCATATCACTTACTTATTTTTCAGGCTAATCAATCAATTTTTGTTGTTCGAGTTTTCGATATAGAGTTGACATATACACTAATAATAAACATTCGAATCGACCTGAGAAAAACCGAAAAAACACATTTCAGATTTTATTTTATTTTTGTTGTGTTTAACATCTTTATCGGCGAGATAAGATCCTTCACTATAGAATGTTTGATCGTACGAACCACAAAGATTTTCTCTAGAGAGAAAAAATTTGGTTTTGGTTGTACCAGAATTGCCAAGATATTTAGATTTGTGAAAAAAAAACTTTTTCCACACCATACATTGGAAAATAATGAAAACTTTTCATTTCGAAAAAAGTTTGAAAAAATCAATCAATGAATCAATATATTCGTTTTGTAGGTGGACGTTACAGTGTCATGCCCAATGGTGAGCTTCATATACATCGAATCAACAATGATGATGTCAATGATAATGATGATAATGATAATAATAATGATGATGATGATCAAAAAATCCAAAAAGATCGCCACCATCATAGTCATAAACGGAAGAAAAAAATGATGTTTCGATGTCAAACGAAGCATACCTTAAGTGGAATGATAAAATTAAGTGCCAATTATGGACGATTGATTGTCACAAAGCCACAGACAAAAATGCCGCCAAAAATCATCTTCAACAGTCCCGGTAGACAGAAAATTATTGCCAATGTCGGTCAGACAATCGAGTTGCCGTGTGTCGCCCAAGCTCAACCTTGGCCATCTTTTACATGGTATCGCATCAAACCAACATCAAACGACTTGCAATCATCCTCTCATCATAGCCTTCTTTCAACGTTAATCGATGGAAACAAATTGCAACGGCTTCAATTGTGGACATTTCAGGTTCCACTAAACAACAGATCCATTGATATAAATGACAAGAATGAATTGCTCAACGGAGAGCAATACATTACACCGTATCGCCTTAGCCGGGCAGGTCGATTCGTTCAAGTGGATAGTTCACTTTTCATTCGTGATGTAGCCATCGCCGATTCCGGTTATTACGTCTGTGTTGCCAACAATTCAATGGGTGAAGATCGTATTGAAATGGAACTGGTTGTCAAGGCGCCATTAAGTGTCACTATGACCCCATCATACATATTAGCTTCCGATGGTGATAATGTAGCATTCAATTGCACGATAACCGGCGGTTCGCCA